TACATGCACCTGCTCCAGGTGCAACACTCTGTGGTCGCTATGGCTGTGCCTGTAGGCCAGGAGATACAATGTCATGCTCAACTGCACTAGAGACGGAGTCATATGCCTCATTATCATCATTATCAATCGGCGGACTCTTGACATATGCCTCTTCATCATCATCATCATCATTCGGCGGACTCCTGACATATGCCTCATCATCATCATCAACATTCTGCGGAGTCCTGACTGCCGACTCAGAAGAGTAACCCTGCGACCGAGTAATATGTATCCGAGGGAGACGTGCCGAACTGCCAGGCATGAGTGAGACGGAATGCTGACCACTCTGCATCAAAGAGAGACGTTCCGAACTGGTAGGCATGAGTGGGTCGGACTGCTGACCACTCTGTATCGGACGAACGAGACCTCCCGAATTGCCAGGCATGAGTGAGCCGGACTGCTGACCACTCTGTATCGGAGGAACGATAGGTCTCGAACTGCCAGCCTGGGCAAGTTGTACCAGACGAGCCTCACGGCGCCTATCATCCATCTCCCGCCGAGCGGAGCATCCACACAATGACTATACGTGTGTCGGGGTCAAGAACCCTCATACTCGGCAACATACCCATCCCGCACCTCATCAGCCTAAATCCAAAATTTTTAACTAATAATTAGTAAACAAACTTTTTTAATTCATTTATTTTATTAAATGTTACAAGATACTTACGATTATTATTAATAATCTATATTAGCCTAGTACTTAACTTATATTAGACTAGTTATTACGATTTTATTAATTGGTTATAAAATTATAAACACTATTTATAATTTTTCAATATATATATAATTTAATATAATGAATTTAGTAATATATATATTAGTATAAAATATATATTAATTTTATTAATTTATATTAATATAACTATTTATTAATTTCAATTACTAATATATTTTAATTAATAATATATGCATACATATATTTTTATTGTTAATATCTTTTTTTCTTAATAATATACTTTTAATATATTTTCATTTTAATATAAATAATAATATATATGAAATTATTTGAATTTATTTATATTATTTTTACTTTTTTCTAATTAAATAAAAATATTAAAAGCGAAAACAAAAACGCAAAATAAAAATAATTAAATAAATAATATATTTGAATTTTTTAAAATATTAATATAATTAATATATTTGCATTTTTTAATTAAATAAAAAATAAAAAATGCAACAATATATATTAAAATTTTTTAATTATTTACTTTTTCAATTATAGAAAATATATATTAATATATGAAATTTTTTAAATTTATTTTATAATATTAAAAGTATATATATATATGTATTAACGTATATAAATATATATATATATATATATTAATATATACAATTATATACTAATATTTATTTTTAATTAAAAAAAAA